GTCTGGCTACTCAGAAGGCTGAGGAGGAAGGATCGCCGGAGCCCAGCAGGTCGAGGCTGCGGTGGCCAGGAGCGGCCACTGCACCCTAGTCTGTGCAACCGAGTGAGACTCCAACTCAAAAAAAAAAAAGTTTTAATAAAAATAAATATGTAAAGAGAAAACTAGGTAGATACACGTAGTGTTACATTGCGCCACTCTTTAAAAGGCTTCATAATTGTAATAGAATCTTCATAATTGTAATAGAATGAGAAAATATTGGGACTAGAATATTAAAATTTTGAAACCTGGATATAAAATCACATCTACAAGCCAGGCGTGGTGGTTCATGCCTGTAATCCCAGCACTTTGGGAGGCTCCTCTCGCCTCAGCCTTCCAAAGTGCTAGGATTACAGGCATAAGCCACTGTGCCTGGCTGCACTGGCTCATTTAATACTCATGGTAAACATGAGAGGATTGCCTAAGCCCACGGGTTCGTGACCAGCCTGGGCAACATGGAGAGACCTTATCTCTATAATAAATAAAAAAAATTAGCCAGGCATGGTGGCAGGTGCCTGTAGTTCCAGTTACATGGAAGACTGAGACAGAAGGATTGCCTGAGCCCAGCAGGTCGAGGCTACGGTGGCCATGAGCGTGCCACTGTACGCCAGCCTAGGTGACAGAGTAATACTCCAACTCAAAAAGAAAAAAAATCACATCTACACTATATCCTCAATTATAAAAATATATAACGAATATTGGGGGAAAACAATTTTGACCTCAAATAACGGAATACTCAGTATCTTCTGATGCAATGACCATACACTATTTCTATAAAAGAAAACACTGTTGTCTCTCAGGGTTTCTGGAGCACCCAGGACCATCTTTACAAAAGATTTAAACACAGGACCTATGAGGTTTCCATGAAACTTCCAGTCACATAAAATCTATAGCCAATGTCGAGTTTACCTGGAGTTCTGGGTTTGGGTTGGGAGGCACTGGAGAGCTTCCTGCCTATCATTCTCATCTCTTTTGAGTTAATAAATACTTAAGATTTCTTTAGCGCTTAACACAGAAACATTTTATTATTTACCCTTAAAGCAATCTTGTAAGTTGCTATTATCCTACTAGCTTAGAGAAGTTTGGTAAGTGTTTCCAGATAACTTACAAACTCAGCAACTGCACCAGAATTCAAACCTAAACTGAGCCCAACACTGATAGTTCAGGACCTCCATGTTCTACAACTTCTCATTGGCTAGAAAACGGCTAAAAATTCTAACAGCAGATCAACTGCATCATAATATCCTAGACCATTTCCACTGGGAAACGAGACCTCACAGCACTTGTCTATAGGTGTTTTCAGGAAAAGCTACCTCTTTTAATATCCACCGAGATTCCTGGGAAGAGCCCAAGCCTCTCTCATTGACATTCTCTAAGTTTCATCCCAAAAGCCTCAACTCTGGCAATCTTGGACACTGTACACACTAGACGGTAAGCTACTCCAGGGCAGGAACTGTGACTTCTCTTTGTCCTGGTGAGCATATCACAGGCCATCGCCTGGTACTTCATGGGCACCCAAGAAAAGTCCCCCATGTGAATGACTGGATTTGTGATGGCCCCACTGCACTTGGCCATCAGCAGATGCCAGCCTCTTGCTGGGGTCCAAATCCAGTGCCTAGCTAAGCACGTCTTCTCTTTCATTCCTAAGTTCGGCCTGCTAAATCTGTTCCTTCTCTTCCTCACAGCACACAAGCAATTCCCCCGACCCTCCACTCTCGAAGCACCCGCCAGACCTGGAAGAGGTAGACATCCCCAAAGGAGTTGCTGAGGCAGAACACGTTTTCCTTCTTGGGGTGCTCAGGAACAGACTGTACGATGCTGTCTTCTGCAAACAGAGCACAGCGAGGGGTGCTGCTCTGGTCGGCGGGATTCCTCCCGTAAGTCTCGTAGAACAGCAGGGTACACCCTGGGAAAGACAGAAGCGAAGTGACATTCCCAACCCATGATCTGAGGGCCTTGGAAAGGAATGAAAGGTAAGGGACACAGTTGAAAACAAACACCTCCAAATGGACACTTCTTTAATATAAACATGGTAAACACGGAAAAGTTGGCATCTGGATGATGTCTAGTTAGCTTAGAATGAATGAAAGGGAGATGCTTTTGTAAATGTAATGCCAACAATAATAATACCAAACAGTAAGCTGTTGCTTTACTCTTCTAAGTACATGCACTGGCTCATTTTTGTTTTTTGTTTTGTTTTGTTTTGTTTTTTAGTCAGAGTCTCAATCTGTCACTCAGGCTGGAGCACACTGGCATGCCACGGCCACCGCGGCCTCAACCTGCTGGGCTCAGGCGATCCTTCTACTTCAGCCTTCCAAGTAGCTGGAACTATAGATGTGTACCACTACACCCAGCTAATTTTTTTGGTTTACTTTACTGATGAGATCTTGCCATGCTGCCCAGGCTAGTCTCAAAACCATGAGCTCAAGTAATCTTCTCGCCTCAGCCTTCCAAAGTGCTGGGATTACAGGCATGAGCCACTGTGCCTGGATGCACTGGCTCATTTAATACTCATTGTGGCCCTACGAGGCAGAAATGGTTATCACCCCATTCTACAGATAAGAAACCTGAGAGATGGGATCACCAGCATGGGGACAACAACTGGATTTGCGGTAAAGCAGAAATATGAACACAAGTCCTCTGGCCTCAGTGAGATGGGGGTCTTGCTATGTTGCATAGGCTGGTCTTGAACTCCTGGCCTCAAACGATCCTCCCACCTCAGCCTCCCAAAGTACTGGGATTATAGGTGTGAGCCATTGTGCCCAGCCCAGAGTCCTGTTCTTAAGCACATCATCTCATTATTTAGGGGTTCTAAATGTGAGAGGCTAAAGAAAATTCCACTTATGCTTACAATGTGTGGAAACAAGAAACCGAGTATACCTGAGGAAGTTTATCATTTATGAGAAAGTACTCAGTTTATTTTCCAAATGCCATGTAAAAAAACTTAATTTTCATATGTTCTTTTATCTTACAGTAAAAGGAAATGTTACTAACGTACCAACTTAGACTAAGGAAGAAGAATGAAACTAAATATGCCCAGATCTTAAAATATCACTCTAAAGATGCTGCTATATATGCTGATAAGTACTTGTTTCCCCCCAGTCAGCTAATGAAGTATTACAGGTAGAAGTTATGAAGAGTCTGCGTTAATGATTAGACAGGAATGCCTTATAACGGTTAGACACAATTTTTAAGCAAATTGGTGCTTCTAAAATGCTCACAAATATGTTTCATGTGTAGGATTCCAATTCCCTCAAACCTTCATCCAATAAACATGTCTGAGTACTTCTCAACGCAGTTCCAAGCTCCAGCATACAAATGACATGGTCACCATCCAGATGCTTCACACACACTGAAGAAACATCAAGGTGGGAGTATCACTGGAGCCCAGGAGTTTGAGGCCAGAGTGGGTTATGATTACACCACCGCACTATGGTCTGAATGACAGAGTAAGATCCTCTTTCTTTTTCTTTTTTTCTTTTTTTAAGTTTTCAAACAAAGTTTATTAGAGAAAGAAGAAAGAAAAGACGAGGTGACATACCAGAGCTGGCATGGGCAAAAGAAACCTGACCCTCTTTCTAAAAAGAAATAAATAAATACTAAAGAAACATCACCCGGCCCTCACCAGCACTGTAACTGACTGGGGTCCCCATGACAGCATCTTGTCCTGTTGTATATCTTCATTCATTAAAGTTTAGTTGTTTTAAAAACTATCTCATTGCTTCCTTTCAAAATAAGTCTCCCAGATGTGGTGGCTCATACCTGTAGTTCCAGCACTTTGGGAGGCGAGGCAGGAGGATTGCTTGAGACCAGGAGTTCAAGACCAGCCTGGGCAACATAGCGAGACCTCATCTCTACAAAAAACACTGCAAAAGTTAGCCAGGCATGATGGCACATGCCTGTAGTCCCAGCTACTCAAGAGGCTGAGGGGAGGATGGCCTGAGCCCAGGAGGTTGAGGCTGTGGTGTGACATGATGGTGTCCCTGCAGCTTGAGTAACAGAGTAAAATCCTGTCTCAAATAATAAAATTAAATTTAAATAAGTGTTCAAAAATTTTTTTTAATTAACCAGGCATGATGATGGCACATGCCTGCATTCCCAGCTACTTGAGAGGCTGAGGCATGAGGATCGCCTGAGTCCAGGAGGTCGAGGCTGCAGTGTTCCATGATCGTGTCCCTGCAGCTTGGATGACAGAGTGAGACCCTGTCTCAAATAATAAAATTAAACTAAAATAATCCTTCATGAATAAACAAGTTTATACAAGGGAACCCATCACAGCACAGAAGCCAATAGAGAAAGACACCTCCCCCCTCAGTCTGAGAAAGGGCTCCTTCTCCCTCCATGGTATTCTGTGATCTCTTGAAATGCTGAGCATTCTCTCCTTCCCGCAGATAAAACTCATCTGAACTAATAGGTTGGGAGAGTTCCAGTATTAAGAAGAAGGGAAAGTAGCAAGAGGTTCACAGCCAGAGTTACTCTTGCAGATTCTACTCAATCTCTTTTTCTGGCAAGTGATACAGTTAGAAACAAACCTCCCTCCCCTCCCCACTCCATCTTTCCATTGGGTAAGGCCTTTCTGATAATACACGGGAAACATGCCATGACCTGGGGCCCAGGGACCAGGGCAAAAGGCAAGAGCAGCATCCATATTCCTTCCAATGGGCTCCTGCTCACTTCCTGGCTTCTCTAACGCCGTGGTTGGAACCATTGACATCTAGGGGAAATGAACACAAACCGTGGCCTGATGCCAAGGTGCTGCCAAACCTCACACCCCGTCAACAACGGACTCTGACCTGGAAGCTTGAAATCAAAACAGGACACGAGCCGGGCCAGGATGTAGAACAATATACAGAATGTTGTGACTGTCCATTGAAAGATCAGGAATTCAATCTTAACTCTAGTACATCAAGTTTAATGCCAAGGAACTCTTGTCTCCCAGGGGGCATGGGTGCTGATGGAAGGGGGTGGCCCCAGGTTAGTGAGGCTCTGCCGCTGACCCTAGTGCTGCAACCACCGGGCCTGCGGGGGCCCTAACTAGGGCAGGTGTTGGCTCACACAACTGACAGTGGGTGTTCTTGCCACAACAGCAGAAAGAGTAGATAGATTGGAACAGCAATGGCAGTGTAAAAACAGAAGAGGCAATATCAGTGGAAATATCATCTGGGGAGGGAGAGCAATTAGTCTTGGTTTCCCCTCAAATCCACCCTTCGCTTGACACCCTCTCGAACCTCCATTCCCACCACCATCCTATCGTAGGGCAGGATCACCAGCTTCCCCATTGGTCAGTCCGTCACATGTTTTGAGTGAGATCTAGTTAGCCCCAGAAGACCCCAGCAAACTGCAGGAAAATCCACTTACTATAAAAGACAAAAGCAGAAAGAGAAAATTGCTCTTGTTAAAAATTTATGACATAGCCAGGCATGGCGGCTCACGCCCAGTGTAATCCCAGCATTTTGGGAGACTTGAGACCAGAAGTTCAAGACTAGCCTGGAAAAAATAATGAGACCTTGTCTCTACAAAAATAATCAGAACATTAGCTGGGCGTGGTGATGCATGCCTGTAGTCCCAGCTCCTCAGGAGGCTGACATGGGAGGATCGCTTGAGCCCAAGAGGTCGACACTGTGGTGAGCAGTGATCACACCATTGTACGCCACCCTGGGTGACTGAGACATTGACTCAAAAAAAAAAAAGTTATTATATCTTCCAAGCCCTAAAATATATCTGTGCTCTTAGCATACCTGTATATTCAATGTACACAAGAAACTGGATGGTTGTCTAACAACTGTTTTCTCCAGAAAACTGTTCCCAATTTATGTACATAGATAATTTGAGGGTAATTTAAAAATTCTGCTTGAGAGAGAGAGAGAGGGAGAGAGAGAGAGAGAGAGAGAGATGTGTGTGTGTGTGTGTGTGTGTGTGTGTGTGTGTGTGTGTGTGTGAGAGAGAGAGAGAGAGAGAGAGAGAGAGAGAGAGAGAGAGAGAGAGAGTGAAAGAGAGAGAATACACATATCTGTGGTTTTAATTAAGATTAAGCCAAATAGTTACGTCCAAACATTACAGACTGGATTCTTAGCCAAGAAACTGGAACTCCACAGACTGAAATCCCATAGGAAAGAGGTGTAGAAGCCACATGGAAAAGGTTATGCTGGGAAAACACATCTTTATCACACGCCTTGCCTGCAGAGGGAAGGAAGGAATGTGTGCTTGATAACATTTATACAACAAAGCACCTTTTATCCACAGATCTTGAAGTGTTTTGCAAGCAAACACAGGCGTAGAGCACAGGCAGGACTGCAGATCAAGGGTCAAGACCAACTCAGGCCCACCCCTGCCCCAGAAGCCTCTGCCTTCTGGGATGGAACACAGGACCCTGGCAATCAGTCTCCAGTCCTTAAGTCACAGACACCTGCCTGAATTCCCCCTCTAGGGTCCCCAACAATCTGGCTCTGCACACATGTTGTCAGTAGCAGGAAATCAGGGAGGCAGGGCCTTTCCACTCGCCCGGTGGCTCTCCCTGTTGTTTACATTAATTCTGAATCAGCCCGCCTCATCCAGGAGGCCCAGAATACATTCAGCATTCTGAATAATACATTCTGCACACTGCTGCTCACTCTCACCCAATTCTTACTTTCTCTAAATTAGGCTAAATTTCCCTAGGTCTTACACCATCCTCCATGTGGCACGGCTCCTAAGCCCTGTCATCACCTATGGCCACACTTCTCTAAGTTCAAATCGTATATGGCCTCTCTTTCCCTCTCTCCCTGCATGTCTCTCTTCCTGTGTGCCTCTCTCCCTGTCTCTCTCTCTCTCTCTCCCCACCCCTCTCTCTCTCTGTCTCTCTCACACACACACACACCCCCTACCACCAGGGAAATATACACTGGAGGTTTTCAAATCTACAGATAAGCAGGGAAGAAATTGCCATAGCATCAATTTTAAGAAACACATTTTACATTTAAAAAGTAGATACATGAAAGCCAGGAATGGTGGCCCACACCTGTAATCCCAGCACTTTGGGAGGTGGAGGTGAGGAGATTGCCTAAGCCCAGGGGTTTAAGACCAGCCTGGGCAACTTGGCAACCTCTATAATAAATTTTGGCAACCTCTCTATAATAAATTTTAGCTGGGCATGGTGGCACATGCCTATAGTCCCAGCTACTTGGAAGGCTGAGGTGGAAGGATCACCTGAGCCAAGGAGGTTGAGGCTGTGGTAGTCTGTGATTCACAAACAACTGTAGATGCTCAACCCTGGAGAACATGTCCACTCTCCTCTCCAGCCAGGGATATTTCAGGGAGAGAGCCTTTCAGGAATCCCATCCTCATTTCCCAGCAAGTCTTCCACAATGCTGTGCCCACCCAGAGGGCCATGGCCAACTCTGACCAGGCAAAGGCAAGCAAGACTGTCACCTCTTCTGCAAGAGACGTGACGTCTCTGAGGAGAAAGGGTGAAGGTCCCGTTTGCTCTTTCAACCTGCACTTACTTCTTGGAAACTCACATTACCTTGGAAACTCTGCATGGCCTGCAGAGCAAACCGCCAGATCTTTTTCACTTCCAAGACTTGACGGCCCCGTCTCCCCATCTTGTCTTTGAGGAGCTGTTGGACTTTCAAACCCTTCAGGCAGAACTTCCTTATCCTTTCCAAAGGTTCTCATCTCTAGATTCAACCAATTTTTCCAACTTTCAAAGTTGTTTCTCATTAAGTAGAGGAACCTGCCTCTCCCGCATGCAAAAACATGGGTAAGTCCTTTGCCTTCCTCAGCCGCAACGTACGCAGGGATGCAAGTCCAGAGGTGGAAATGGGGACTGTGGTATCCATGGGACATTGCATCCTGGAGTTTTATACACTCCTGCCTAAGACATCACTTAGAGAGAAAATGCCTTTGTAAGTGTACCTTTACCAGAGGGGCTTATGGGTACCAAGACAGGATGCCTGGCCCCAGAAGGTTAGGGGAGCAAGGCTCTACTTTTCATTTTTACTTATTTTATTTTTCAAGTCGGGGCCTCACTCTGTTGCCCAGGCTGGAGTGCAACAGTACAATCATGCCTCACCACAGTCTCAAACTCTTGTGCTCAGATGATCCTCCCACCTCAGCCTCCTGAGTAGCTGGGACTACAGGCATGTGTCACCATGCCCAGCTAAGTTTTTGATTATTTATTTTTTTTTGTAGAGATGAGATCTTGCTATGTTGCCTAGGCTGGTCTCAAACTTCTGGGCTCAAGCAATCCTCCTGCCTCAGCCTCCCAAAGTGCTGGGATTACAGGTGTGAGCTACCATGCCCGGTTCTCCAATTTTTAAATAAGGGACAAAGGAAACCTAGAAAGGGGTAATTCAGAGAGCCCTGGGCATTTCACCCATACTGTCTATAGATGTGATTCACGGCTACACTTCTGCTTTCTTCAGTGATGGGGAAGGATGTCATGTGATAATGAGGTCTGACTTTTTAACACCATAGTCGGTTCCTCTGACAAAGAGTCACAGGAGGGCTGTGTGGAAATGCCAGGGGACTGGGAGGCTGCTCTTCCTGTGGCATCTGAGCAAATCCACGCTGTATAGATTTGGAACTTCTCACCTCCTCACAAGACATTTAGATTTCTGCAACTCTATATATCCGCAATGAGCCAGGCGACTCTGATTTTTAAATGGCAACACTCGTGAGAAACTTATCATCTTAACAAATTCTTACTTCTGTTTCCTTTACATTAAAAAAAAACCTGCATTTGTTGGTGATAACCATTAGACTTTCTTAGTTCATAAAGATGAGATAACACAAATAAATAATCCAGATGATATTGTTAATTGCACAAGCTGGGAAAAATGCCTGCTTGGAGTACAGAATGTGAAATTCACAAACTCACTCCCAGGCCAGGTGCAGTGGCTCACACCTGTAGTAAGCCCAGCACTTTGAGAGGCCGAGGCGGGAGAATTGCTCAAGCCTAGGAATTTGAGATCAGCCTGGGCAATACAGCAAGACCTCGTCCTACAAAAAGATTAAAAAATTAGCCAGTTGGGGTGGGGTATACTTATAGTTTCAGCTACTTGGGAGGCTGAGGAGGAAGGATAACCTGAGTCCACGAGGTCAAGGTTGCGGTGAACTTGAACTGTGATAGTGCCACTACACTCCAGCCTGGACTGCAGAGCAAGACCCCAACTCAAAAAAAAAAAAAGAGAGAGAGAGAGAGAGAGAGAAAGCAGGATTTATTGAGAGGGCAGAAAAGTTCCCAGAGCAGGATGGGACCTGAGGGGGTTGCCCTTTTAAAAAATAAATAAATAAAATAAAACAAAATCTATGTTCCAAATAAACAAACCACCTTTGCAATTTGGATTTTTTTCCCCTCCAGATGCAAGAAAAGTATCAAAGAATGGTACAAGAATATCCACAAAATAAGCAATAACTATTAAATGCAATCATTATGTATTAGACTGAATAAAATCAATGAATAGTCAGTGAACCATGTCATACAGGTTGAACCATATCACACAGGTTTGAGAAAGTATCAGCGATAAAACAGCTGCCGATACTGTATCAAATCAGCCATGCCCACTGGCATGTCCCAGGAACGAGAGTGGCTGGAGGGAACAGCGAGCTTACCTTTAAGTGTCACCCAGTACTGTTTCCACTTCCTTCGTGCCACTAGTTCGAGTTTCCTTTCCTTCTGCAAAGTGACAAGGGGTTTGAAGAAGAGCCACCCAGCTTTCCGGACCACTCCCTGCTCCTTCTCAAAGAGTAGGTCCAACTGTTCCAGCGAGCTGAGAGACTCGCTGCTGGACTCGGCTGTCTCTGTGGACGTCTCCACGTGCTCCGTGCTGGTTCGACTCATCTCCAGCTCCCGCATGAAGTTCTCATAGATGTTCTGGCGGAGGGGGTCGCTGCCAATTGCCTGAGTGGATTCACTCCTCTGAGACAGGATCTGAGCCGAGCCCCCTGACCACAGCAGAGCAGATGCCGGGGAGGGCCCCTGGATGTCTGCATTCAGTCCATCGGAGCGACTGTCAAAGTAGTCACTGCCCTCCTTGGACCTGGGCTCCTGTGAGCAACACAAATGATCACCCATCAGAGGCTATGGATGTCCAAAGCATCCCTCCCATAGCACAGCGTAAGTGTAATGTGGGTGGGCACTAACAATAATGCTACAAGTAAGATTTTTTTTTTTTTGAGTTGGAGTCTCATTCTGTCATCCAGGAAGTGCAGTGGCACACTCATGGCCACCCCAGCTTCAACCTGCAGGGCTCCGGCGATCCTTCCACTTCAGCCTTCCAAGTAGCCAGAACTACAGGCATGTGCTACCCTGCCAGCTAATTTTTTTTTTTATTGTAGAGATGAGGTCTCGCCAAGTTGCCCTGGCTGGTCTTGAACCCCCAGACTTAGGCAATCCACTCACCTCGGCCTTCCAAAGTGCTGGGATTGCAGGCTGAGCCACCGAGCCTGACCATAAGATTTTTGTAACAAAAATTCACCTTTAGGCCAGGCATGGTGGCTCACGCCTATAATCTTAGCACTTTGGGAGGCCAAGGTGGGAGGATTGACTGAGCCCAGGAGTTTAAGACCAGCCTGGGTAATGTAGCAGGACCCCATCACTACGAAAAATTAAAAAATAATGTTAGCCAGGTATGGTGGCATGAACCTGTGGTCCCAGCTACTTGGAAGGCTGAGGCAGGAGGATTGCTTAAGCCTAGGGGTTCAAGGTTGCAGTGACCTATGATTGTGCCACTGTACTCCAGCCTGAGTGACAGAGCAAGGTTCTATCTCTCTAAAAATGAAAACAAAATAAAGAGGTAAATAAAATATCAATGACTCCCCTAAATTTAGCCTATGCTTAGCATCCAGAAATAAACTAGTATATGTAAAACACTCCAGTGAATTACAAGGATGATATTTCTTTTTTCTTTGCTAACTGTGAATCAGTGTCTTCCAGGAAAGAACTCATGTTTCTGCAGCTGAATTTCCTCCAGGATCATTTGAAAGCCAAATTAGAAAATCACTAGTACCAGGAGAGGGTGAGTAAGATAGTAAACTGGTATTGTTATGCAAAACCCACAAACTTCTGCTCTTCTCCCCATAGTAAACTCAGGCCCCAGCTTCTGGCCAAGCACCCAAGTCAAGACTTCATGTACCCAGGCCAAGATGTCTCAACTTAGGATGTCCAGTTGCTTACTTTCCCAGTTCAGAGTACAAATCATGCACTTAGGATTCCTTATTCATCAAGGGCAGCTTTTTTTTCATGATTAGTATTTTTTACCTTGAGAATTTCTTTCATGAATATACTCATTCACATCCTTTTATTCAACTACCTACTTTATTCTAGACACTAGATATAATGACAAAATTCTTGACTTTAATATTTATTCCAACACAAAATTTAACACAGGCAGCTCCAAATAAAATTCATATTTATATAATAATTACCCTTCCCTATGAAAACCAGATGCATGGAACATCAAGCCAGCCACGCACAGAGTTGAAGACATCAAGACATTCCTTCTAAGATCTGGATTAGAAGTCTAGTTATTCAAGAAAATTTACTAGTCTGTTCACTAGTAAATAGCAGTAACTAAATTTTTCAGCAGAAAGTGAGCTTAACTTTTGACTCGAAAGGCACTGACATTCCAGATGCATAGCCTGGGTTAAGGTGAATCTGCAGGAAGCACCTAAGCACACTCAATTCTACTCAGTTGTGAATGGGCTTCTGAGTATACCTCCTTATGCATGAAAATGAAACTGAGGGATAACGGGGTCAATGACCACTGACTAAACACCGTATTTGGAATATTCCACTGTGTGGAGAGGTTTTATTTCAGAAATGACATCCAGAAATAAAGTAGTAATTTCTTCTGCCTTGTCGGAAAAACACCACGCATCTGAAGGGTGCTTCCAGATACCCAGGAGCCATGAACCACTGAGCCCCAAACAGATATTACTCATGGGCGTATCATTTCCCACTGTGTTTACACCAAACCCCACAGTGATATTTGTTTATACTGATGCTTAGGCAGAAGACAGCAAATAAGCCAGCTGCTATGAGTCACTCAGACAGGAAACTTTCAAAATACTCTTAAGAGTTTTTTTTGTTTAGTTGTCACTTAGCTGCTCTTCCAAAACTTCCAGGAGGTGAAGGAATACTTCTCATGTAGCTCGTATTAACACTGTTTCAGCTACAATCATATCTCTCTGACTCATAGCCCCCAAGCCCCAGGATTACTTCTGATAGCCAGCAGGAGCTGCAACGTGGGACTTCCAAACAGGCAACACTCTGACAGAAAAAGGCACACAAGTGCCAAAGTTCAATGCGACCCACACACACTCTTGACATCGTTTCTCACGAGAGAGAGACTTCAAGCTTCAGGGCCAATTTTTAAATATTCAACCATAACAAAGCAAGAATTTTCCTCCTTGAGAAATTATAACTGATTCTTACACATAGGCATCAATTTTTTCAGTCTCTAATAAATTTCTAAAGTTTTCTATCCAGAATCCAGTGACTAATTTTCAGGCTAATATGAAAGGGCACCAAAAAAAAAGAAATGTCTTTAAATAGGTTTAGCTAGAATTCCTAACCACTGTTTTGTGAGTATAAAGTTAAGATGCCAGTTACATATGTACACAAAGCATATGATTTCCATTTACATACAAATGACTTTCACTTCCGCCCAGCCAAATAATCATAAACAAGGCTAATGAGACTTGACAGCCAGGGCACTATAAGAAAGAGTAGAGAGGCTGGGTGTGGTGGCTCACACCTATAATCCCAGCACTTTGGGAGGTCAAGAAAGATGACTGACAGAGACCAAGAGCTCGAGACCAGCAAGGTCAACATGGTGAGACCACATGTCCACAATAAATTTTTTTTTTTTTTTTGAGTTGGAGTCTCACTCTGTCGCCCAGACTGGAGTG